AAGTTCTTAGCAATGCATATTACTAATCAAAAGTTAAGTTTTAATATATTTATGGTAGGAAATTTACAAAATATCTTCATGGAACATGATCTTTACTTAATATCCTAATGATTTTTGGCATAAAAGAAATCTATAATTTTGACCCATACAATGTATTTTTGGCTATTGCTACAAATATACCCCAGCAACTTAAGACTGGTTTTGTGCTCCAGGGTCACAAATGTGTATTTCGGATGTTTTCTTTCCACTAGTCTGATATGGAAGCAAAGTAGAGCTCAAAACTGACCGGTGCATGAATAAACAATGGTTTTGATTGTAGTAGTTTGTAATTATTTTAAACTGTTGAGGTGGTGTGTGTTGTAGGGAATCTCTGTCTGTCTGATGTCGTCTAGAAGAGCGCAGTGATGTCAGGAAATAAAGCGGTGGAGCTGCAGATACAGATGCGACAGAACGCAGAAGATCTGCAGAACTTCATGAAGGAGCTGAACAACTGGGAGGGAGAAATCAAGAAGAAAGACCAGCAGCTTCGTGCCAGAAACGTCAGCGAACCGCCGGTAAAACTCTGAGCAAACTCAATACAGCACTTCAGATTCAGGTGTTGTTTGTTTGCTAGAAATGTATTTTATTCCAGAAGACTCTTCCGCCGGTGAGGAACAAAGATTATAAGAAGACGAAAAAGAGCGTGAAGCGCCAGACTAACGGTCTGAAAGAGCAAAAGGAGACGCAGCGCATAAAATCCTACGATTATCAGGCCTGGGACAAATTTGATGTGGTAATACGACTATGCATTCTGATTCACGCTCTGATGTGCATAAAGACGCGATGATTTCACAGATGAACGCTGTTTGTTTGCAGGATAAGTCTCTGGAGGCCATGGGCGCGGAGGAGAGCCCGGTCCACTCCAACGAATCTGACTCTGAAGGGCTTCAGGTGGACAGAGATCTGGCGCTGACCGAGAAAGAGAAGGTCCGTTAGTGTTCATTTTGTTAATGACGAAGACGAGACGACACCGACGTCATTAAACACTAATTGTATCAACATACAATATCGTCGATGAAATAAGATAAGACTAAAATATGTGACCCTGGAGCACAAAACCAGTCATAAAGGTCAATTTTTCGAAATTGAGATTTATACATCATCTGAAAGCTGAATAAATAAGCTTTCCATTGATGTATGGTTTGTTAGGACAATATTTGGCCGAGATACAACAATTTGAAAATCTGGAATCTGAGGGTGCAAAAAAAATCTAAATATTGAGAAAATCGCCTTTAAAGTTGTTCAAATTAAGTTCTTAGCAATGCATATTACTAATCAAAAGTTAAGTTTTAATATATTTATGGTAGGGAATTTACAAAATATCTTCATGGAACATGATCTTTACTTAATATCCTAATGATTTTTGATCATTTTGACCCATGCAATGTATTGTTGGCTATTGCTACAAATATACCTGTGCTACTTATTACTGCTTTTGTGCTCCAGGGTCACACACACATATATATATATATATATATATATATAACATACATGATATAACAGAATATATATCAACTTATTGTGATCCCTTCAATGTATTTCTTAAATGTTCTTTATTTGGTCTTAGAAAGGCCTTGAAGTCTTCATGAAGCATGCAGAAAGCCTAAATTTTCTCATGATGAACTGTAATAAACCAAACATGATGCTGACTGTCTGATGTTTCAGGGGAATGAGTTCTTCAGGGACGGCCGGTACGACAGCGCCATCCAGTGTTACACCAGAGGAATGGATGCAGATCCGTACAACCCTGTCCTGCCCACCAAAAGAGCGGCCTGCTTCTTCAGACTGAACAAGTGCAGCCGCGTCTCCCATCTTCATACTGTTGTGTTCGGACGGATCGGTCCTGATGAGAGTGTTTGTGTGCCGCAGGTTCGGCGTGGCGGAGTCTGACTGTAATTTGGCCATCGCTCTGGATGGGAAATACGTCAAAGCGTACGTCAGAAGAGCAGCGGCACGTGCGGCGCTCAACAAACAACAGGAAGCTCTCGAAGGTCTGAAGCTTTATGAAGGAAATCATAGAAGTCAATGAAGTTACTGTGGTGAATGAATATTTCTCTAGTTCTGCTCTGATCTGAAATGTGACCCTGGAGCACAAAACCAGTCACAAGGGTCGATTTTTCTGAAATTGAGATTTATGCATCATCTGAAAGCTGAATAAATCAGTTTTCCATTGATGTATGGTTTGTTAGGGCAATATTTGGCAGAGATACAACTATTTGAAAATATGGAATCTGAGGGTGCAAAAAAATCTAAATATCGAGAAAATCATCTTTAAAGTTGTCCAAATGAAGTTCTTAGCAATGCATATTACTAATCAAAAATTAAGTTTTGATATATTTACAGTAGGACATTTACAAAATATCTTGATGGAACATGATCTTTACTTAATATCCTAATGATTTTTGGCATAAAAGAAAAATCTATAATTTTGACCCATACAATGTATTGTTGGCTATTGCTACAAATATACCCCAACGACGTAAGACTGCTTTTGTGCTCCAGGGTCACATATATTCACTCAGTTGAATTGCCTGAATTAGTGAGTGAATCGGCTCTTTTGAATGATTCAGCTGAACTGGTTCACTGATTCATTATTTATTTCACGCACAATGATAATTCAAAGTGCTTTACATTTTAAAGCCTTTTTAATTACCTTTATATATATTATATATATATATATATATATATATATA